AAAAAAAAAAAAAAAATATTATTATTGTTTTGTTTTTATGAACAGGGCCACATAGAGGCCGACGCGCGTCGGCTGCCTGAGCGCGGTGTTTTCTCGCGTGCGCCCCTGCCTGGGCCTGGCGCGGCCGTGCGGAAACTCGGCCGAACGGCCTCGGCCACAGGCCCGCGGTCGGCCTCCTCGGTCGCCGCCGAGGACGCAGATCCGCGGTCTAGGGTGTCACGTAGCTTGGCGGGGCTGATGTATTTGGCACAGAAGGCATGCTCACACTCACACTGAGAAGAATGTATGCAGCTGCATTCACATCCCTAGCGTTTTTGCTTTTTGCTGCTTTTTTTTTCTTTCTCCTGGTCCCCCCAGCTTCGGTCCTTCGAGCTATCGGTACTGCCAGGCTCGGCAGGCTCGGCATACTGGTCGTCGGAGGGTCGGAGTTGATAGCTGGGTGAGGTACTGGTGGCTTCAATGACGTATCCAAAAGCCAGGCACCCAACTGATGCCCGGTTACACGCCCGGGTGCCCTGCCAGGCATGACCCCCGGGCAGGGTTCATGACAGCCCCAGCGCAAAAAGAAAAAAAGAAAAAATCCTGAAAAGACCTGTAGAATGCAATACAAACGACTTTTGGATGAGGGTCAAATCAGAATTCCTCGCAGAATCGGAAACGAAAAATAAATAACAGAATCACACTAAGGCACGCCGACTTTTAACCCCTTTAGCCCTTCAAAACCAATTTAACCCCCCCCCCCTCCCCCACCCCCCTCCTCTTCCCCCCTCTCTTCTTTCTCTCTTTGACAATGGACTCACAAAAAAAGAAATGAGCCCGGATTTGGGGTCCTCCGGGAGAGTGCAGAAAACAAAACAATTGCGAAAGAAACAGGTGCACAACCTGTCAACGACATACACCTTGGTGTATTCTGAACGGAGGTACTGAAAGCACGTCTCCTGTTTAAGAAGTGTAAGTTTATGATGATAGGTTTCCGAAACTGGGTCCTTCGGGACATCGGGCAAAATTGAGATGATTGAGAGAGAAGAGTAGTATGGCCCCCCTGTTGGAGGATAACAAGCATAAGTGGAGAACTGGTCCGAAGTTTTTAATTAAAAAAAAAAAAAAGGTTAAGTTGGAGGACTTTGAACTATCCATTCAACTGTAGACAGACAGCATTTCGGGTGTCGAGTAGTTGTTTGTTGCTGTTCTTTTTTCTTTTTCTTTTTTTTTGAGGGGTGTGGTTTGGCTATTTTTATTGATAACTTTGCATTTATTTATTCGCTGGGTGCTAAGATTCCAAATCAAGAAGGTCAAGGTCCAGTGGGGATCTCGTACAATTGCGACCAGGAGGCGGTGTGGCATTCCTTCGCATCTCCCAAGGAGGAAATGATTGTGATATCAGTTACTTCTCTGGGAGCTCTTTGAAGTCAGGTTTAAGCACCATTACGTTTCCCATTTGTTTCCCATTGTTTTTGTCTGGCGTCACAGCTGGTGCTTAATCGGTTTTGCCATCTATTCTGGGCCGCCAAAACCTGGTGTATGGCTGTGTCTTTTCTTGGTGCATGGCTGCGTATTGTGATAACCGTGTTTTGCACCAAGGAAAAAGGAGGCGTGGTTAGACATGATTATGTTTCGCATCTATTGTAACATGCTGAGTCTTTTAAGGTTTGGTCTACCTGGGGCTGAAGGCTGGCTGTGCTATCAGCAAAGCAACTTGGTTTCGCCGTCTATTCTGGGCCGTCAAAACTTGGTGCGTGGCAGGAGTCTGCATGGGAAAGAGAGACTTGGATGCTGTGGTGGGTTTAAATGGCCTGGATATCAGGCAGGTCAGTGGAGGTTCCGTCCAATAGATGGAGCCTCCCGGGAAGAGGACCACTTCGGGGGTATGCTCTTATCACATCCTCAAGTGGTGCCTCACAAGGAGTTTCTTGTTATAAAAAAAAAAAAAAAAAAAAAAAAAAAAAGGGAAAGTGGGGAAACAAAGAAGGATGCAATGGGTCATGTCTGTGACAGTTTATAGAACAAACTGAATCCCAGACATCCAGGAGGCATGAGACTTCTTGCCCTTAAACATGAGAAAAAAAAAAAAAAAAAAAAAAAAAAAAAAGGTCAATGGGTTGCAAATGGAACACATCTCGTGCAGATTGCTCCTGATTGCATACAACATCCGAAACTGGAGAAAGGGCCTGCGAAAGCTCCGTGCTGGGTTTACCTGGTAGAGCGCCCTGTGGCTGCCTTCTTACCACTGCCTTGCACCTATGAAACATAGCATTCATTGAACGTGCGTTTCCGTTCAAAAACTGAATAGTTTGAATGTGCGTTTGACAAATGCACACGAACGCGGAGCTCAATTCTGCGGTTTTTTTTGGGGGGGAGAGGGGTGCACCTGGGAAGGGGTCCTCGAGGGTCTGTTAGGGGCACTAGCACCCCCTCGCCCGGAAAAAATAATAAAAGCTTACAAAAGGGAAAAAATGGAGAGGAAAAGAAGATCAAAAACAAAAAACAAAAAAGGGGGTAAAAAGAAGAAATGCGCATGTCGAATATGACAAAACACACAAACACACACGCACACGGACACAATCATGTTTTTTCTGAGTGTATAGCGGAAATGACAAAACACACAAACACACACACACATGCACGCTGCCCGCTGCCCMCCCYCCCCCCCGCCGGCCTCCCGTAGTCTCTCTGCTCCTGCTCCCGCTTCTCTCTCTCTCATGTTCAAATGCTCCCCGCCAAAAAAGAAATGACGACGTGTTGAAGTCCGTGTGCCCCCGCGTAGCTCCCAGTGGTGAGCGCAAAATCATTTTTTTCCTGCGTGGGGGAATTGAACGCGTGCGTATGAATGCGAACAACCGCAACATAGCCCTGCCCCTGATTGTGAGGGACAGATTCTGAATGCACCGCATGGGTAGTGGTCATATATGGGACCCAATATATTATACCCAGGCGGGTATATGTGAGTGTTTGTCATTATATGGGGGTATATTCGGGTATGTACCCACGTGAGCGTACATGGGTATGCGTGGGTATACGCACAATGTGGGTATTTGTGGATATATGTGGGTACGTGCCCATGTGCATATACCCGTGTGGGTGTATACCTACCAGGCTACGACTGTATAGGTGGGCGCTGGTGGGCTTATCCCCAGAGTGTGTATACATGGGTATCACCGTAGGTATATGTGGGTAATACCTGTGTGGGTATGTGTGGGTATCTGCCCTTGCAGATATATATAGGTGGGAATAAGTGGGTGTATACCCACATGGGTATATGTGGGTGGTTCATATGCAGTTTGATGTTGTCTGGTAAGCCTGGTGGATGGTGGTCGAAATGATGATGGGGGAGGGCCATCGTGTTCAGATGTACCGCCGAATACCGCTGAATTTAAGTTTGCAGACAGTTGTCCTCATCTCCCTCTCCCAACTGCTACTGTTTTGGATTCTTCAGCTGTATACCTGCAGCTGCATGTGTGGCATCTAGCCGGGGGGCCGCTGTGCCAAATTACGTGGTCATGGATGCCATGCCATTGGAGGAAAGGTGCCACAAACGGTGCGTCTGGCCTTCCTTTTGCAGGTGAACACTGCATACGTGGGCGCATGTGTAAATGTGTCAGAGGAGGGTGACATGTCCAGATAAGGAAGTGAGTTACGGTGGGGAGGTAACATTGGCATCAATGCCATGGCTTTGAAGGCCAGGTTTCATGAACAGCGCTTCTTTTGTGGGTGAATGCGGGATGTGGCTGCATGTATGAATGTGGGAGGGAGGCCACAGGTTCCACCAGGAGACTTCCCCGACCTCCCTTTAGGACAAGACAATCATGGAAGGGCCATGGTACGGACTGTGACCCCCTGCCCCTGAGGAGGTGGTGGTTTTCGGAAGATTACAGGATGGCTGGTTCTAGGGGTGTTGATAAGAGCAATCACCCCTAGCCCCTAAGGGAGACTCCATCTATTGGTGATGGCTGGTTCTGGGAGGCGGGTTGCCCCCCGGGCCCCTGCCACCTGGTGGCCTCCACCCTGGAAGACCCACTCAAGTATTGGTGTATCCGGGATAACATTTGTGACTCGTCTGTGTATTCTTTGCTGACGATGTGACAATGGGATGGTGGACCTAGTTTCCAGCAGGTGTAGCTCCCCACCAATAGAAAGGAGCTGTTCTGGGAGAGCTACGATGGGATGCTCGTATCACTCCCCAAAGCTGGCCTGGAGGACGTTGGACAAAAAAAAAACATGATTTTTTTTTTTTGAAGGTTCCAACGAGGAATAGCGCATGGTGAAAACTGGTTACTTCGCCAAAATGTTCTGGGGAGGAATAGGAATAGGAATACACCACTCAATGTAAGCCAAGAAGACTCGGAGTATGTCACAATCACAAAGAATGAACTCCGTGAATAGACGAGTAGATATTCATTGAATAACACAGGTATCCACCAATCCGTCCTCAACCCAGGATCCACCGTCGATCCCAAAGCCAAACTTCCGCCGGCATGGACTACCATCGTTCGGACAATAGCAGTCGTGCCGGGCGTAAGACCTGAGAGGTCGTTCTCACTAAACATCTACGTACTTTCACTACAGCAAACTACCGGTCCAACTTCTACAACGAAACTTCCAGTAACATCGGTCATCAAATTTGACAGAAATCCCGGAAAATCTATAGTACTGTGTCCGACAGACTTTTGTGTACTGCCCCGGATACAGTATCGTGCAGGAAACTGAAAGGGTTATTTTGAGAGAAATCCGAGAGGACATGCAGGAAGCGGGCCTACAGAAATTCATCATGTGAAATAAGGATGGAGGATTTGGTTCAGCTTATGTCATACCCAAGCAAAAAGACTTGCAGAGATATACTAAATCCATAAAGCTTTCTAGGGTGTGGGTCTGAGCCCAATCGCTCATGTTCCTGCCGAAACCCTTTGAAGCAACCAAACCATTTAGCCAGCGAGCTGTTGAACCTTCTGAGTAGGATGCAGCAATTATCACCTCCTCCTCTACCAATGTCCTCTTTGCCATCACCCACACGGGCACCATTCTCAACCACGTGTCGAGAGCCTCGTCCTTCTTGTCTCCTGAGAAGGTTGGAGGTGGTTTCAGGGGGGTCTTGGGTACCAAGGTAATTGCTGTTCCGCTGGCGGGACAAATGGCGATTGTGGTGTAGCTCCAGGCGTGGACCGGAGGATGAAGAAACAGCAGTCTAAGATAGAGCTGTTGCTGATGTACCGTTTGGTTGCTGTCCAGACTGAGCAGCACAGGGGCCTGTCATCGCTGATAATGAAAGCGATGGAAAAGCTGCTGTCCGGATCCCTGGCCTTTGTAGGGCCTGCAGAATCTGGTCCAGGGTGTCCTGCATGGCGTCCATTTTGCTTTCCATGTACGCCTGCATGGACAGGACACTTGCCTTAAGAATCTTTCCGGTAGAGTTAAGGGTTGAGTCATCTAAACCCTCTAGTGCAGCTAAGTCTGCCTCCCTACTCTCTAGCTCATCTCTCTCTAATTTCTTTTTCTCTCTTAGTAGCCTGCTTGAGTTCCTCTTCTAACCTTAGGCGAATCCTCTCTACCTGCTGGAGCTCCATCTGCTCCCTTATAAGATGAGGCGGCAAGCTGGACTGCACACCCACCATCTGACTAGGGTCGGCCCCTGACGTATTGGAAACTGACTGCGAACTGGTCGAGTTGGGCGACACACCCTCATCAGAGGTTGCTGCAGATGTTGCTGAAGCGGTAGCCATTGCTACCTCGCTAGTTGCTGCCACTACTCTTGCTTCGGTCGCTGCTGCTTCCCTTGCAGCCTCAAGACTACGGGCCCTAGCTCTGGCTCTTAGTCTTCTCTCTTCTCCCGGTTGTAGGGTCTTGAACACTCTAGGGATTCTAAGCGATGATAGCCTTGTTATCCTCCTCTCGTCAGCTGAACCTCGTTCCCCGGCTGATCCACTCATGTCTGCACTAGAGTCTTATTTGGGACCTACCGCAGCATACGTCTGACCGGTTCTAAAAATAAACAATATAAATTAATGTCCGGTGAGTTACCTAGACTACCGGTCAAGAGGCATCAATAACGCCTACACAAACCGTACACATAGTCTAACTCAATTCTGACTAGTTCTGCACAGAAGCTTCGCAAAGAACTGACTATGGTAGATTACAGTCCTACTCTAGGCTGTATGTTACGTGTCAGCAGTATGTCAACCAACTAATGAAAAATAAAAAAATAGACTAATGTGAGCAGATCTATGTACAATGGAAATGGTAGTGATGTACAGTAGAGTTCACAATTGGAATCCCCTTCCCTTGTATCTAACGTACCTGTGAGCATCATCAAGCTGTGGTGTCTAAGGTGTGCAATCACGACCCACCCCTGTGCCCAAGGTGTATGCTTATGACTGGCGTGCCCTTTGTTTACCCTCGAGTGCAACGAGCCTTACGTCCGACTGATCTGGCTGATCAAGAGGCAATTTAAGGACAGCCCCCGAGAATCCTCAGGAATTATTTAACGTTGCAATCAGGACAACGATCACAACCAGTGGACAAATCGGACCCCAACCAGAAATGTTTATAGACGGTCTGGGAACATCTGCATTAGGACTGGTCAGTCCGCACACCCATTCTATCGGCACGGCAAAGAGCCTCAATGGACAAAGCAGCAAAGCCTACGTGTACTATTCCCATGGGTTGGCATGGTGACCGTGACCCGTGCTTCGACTAGGGCCCTTCAGAGGCACCACCCTCTCCTGTCAGATGTGTCACTAGGAAGAATGTCGTCTCTCAAGGTAGAGCGCACACGACTCCTCACCAAAGAGAGGGCACTCAAGTTGGACTCGCTTCCTCACGGTAAGAAGAGATTGAGAGGGTAGATAAGGAATGGGAACAATGTACCTGGAGATAGCTGGCCCCAACCATAAATTTCTCACCAATTGGGCCGACGTGCATTTAGATGACCAGTCAATAGCCTCAGTACCACCCACAACGCAATGCAGTGCCACCTCAGCCAAAATGCCACGTCAGCATACTCTCATCATCAGGCATACAGCCGCTGTCCCCAGAGCTCCCACACTGTCGCCACAGCCTTCCAGCCCCCACTAATACATACCAGCGCTAAAGTATCCTTACTGCACATGAAGCATTGTCAGCGCACCATGTAACAATATCGCCGGTGCCAGGTAAGCGGCGATCACGAACCAGCTCCGATACCAAATTGCAAGGAATATGAGTGTGAACGATACAGAAAACCAAGTTGCAAAATCACACAGATGTCCAGGTAGTCGAGTCCAAGCGGAGAGTACAAAATGCACCGAGAARCCATCCATATAGAGCAATACAATGAAGTAATGAGCCAATGTTCAAGCCCGTAGGCCACACCAACACAGTACCCAAAGTCGCTCCTCTCCTGTCTGGCGCTCAGCGCCCAGCATACGCTGCCCAACTATCCTACCTACAGCTGGTTCACGCAGCAGGCTCACTTCGACTCTCGAAGACCAATATACATGACTATTAACACCATAGCCGACCTCTCTTCATGCACCAGGTACGTATCTCGTCACCCTCAATCAGACCTTGATTACCCACACTCGCCTCCTTCCCTGAAGACCACCTGATCGCCCTCCTACCCCCTGGCGTCCAGCAGCCCGGCTATGGCTGCCTGTGCCCCGCTGCCCTGCAGCGCCCCACCTCACCACTACGAGCTCCGTCAGCGCCCTTGGCAGCAGCGCAGCATCAAGCGATAGCGCAGCAGCACTTCCGCATTGCCTGCACTGGCCAGAATGCCTGGCCTGGGCTGCCTCACTTCTTTTATGGAAGTGGCAGCCTCCTGGATGCTGCGTGTGGCCTGGCTGGAAGCTTCCAGTAACTTCCGGTTGAGCCTCAGACCCTGCGCCCAGGCCCCAGACTACAGTTGAGGGCCTGGGCCCTTTTCAGTTGGGCACGGCCTGTGTCTCCGCACTTGGGCTGTTTGCTGCATCTGTGCAGGGCTCCCAGGCAGGTGCGTTGGCAGTACTGCTTTTCCAAAGGCGGCCCTGATTTGTGTGTATGTGCCCAGGCGCAACTGTCAAGGCCTGGGCCAACTGTATGACGCAGCTTAGTGAGGCGCACGCGTCTACCCAACCAAACTGGCGTGCTGCGAGAGCCTGAATACCCACATATGGAAATGTCAAATTTTGGCCTCTGACAAATATTCAGGCCCGCCTTCACTTAGGGCGGGCACTCGGCTTGCTGGGGGCCCTAGCCCAGAACATGTGGGCCCCTTGAGGGCTTGTTCATCACGAATGCAAAAATCTCAATCAAACTATTTGAAAAAAGGATAACCGTTTGGTGGTGGTGGAGGGGTGGGGCCAGTTGAGTTATCCAGAATCGTGGGCAATTCTGACCCCAGATCTTTAAGCCATCCGGCCAGACCTTCGGGTCTCAGACATCTGATAGGATAGCTAAATCATAATCACACCAATTCATGAAAAGCAGTATAAAAGTGAGTTAACTTCTAGGATGGTTATGAGGGTGGAGACAAAACCTCACTGACCAGTATAAAAGTAAGTTAACTTCTAGGATGGTTATGAGGGTGGAGATAAAACCTCACTGACCTTGCACACGGTTTGAAGACAACTCTACCACTCTTCTCATCCTTGGTCTGTCGTACAGTGACATTCTTTCCCTCTTTCCAGTGCACCACCGACTCCTCAGAGCCTGTCACCAGTTCGCCATCTTGGCGCAGAAAGGTCTTCGAGAGCACCCGATCTGTGAAGAATGGGTTCAGTAGAAACTCGAAGTCCAGTGTGAAACCCTCCATAATGCGCTTGTACCGAATATCGACCAAATAACTGAGGACGGATTCATCTCGTCGCCGAATCAGTTCAACGGTCGTTGATGAACCCTTGAGTGCAAGCAGCCAAAACCTTGGAACCGTAAGAAACCAGCTCGGTTTTCCGCCACTGATGTCCTCACTTCCATCGGCAAACGCCAAACCCTTTTTCCCAAGTATGATCTGCCTCCGCTTCGCATATATAGGGCCGCCTTTTGTTGCAAAATCTTCCATGGATGCTACAATCGCATTCAGCTTGTCCTCATGCAGATCCTGAAGATTTTTGTGAAGTTTTTTCAACGCCCTGCAGTAAGGAAGTGCAACACATCACAAAGAATACGACATAGTCGAGATGCTATTTGGTCTCATGGCACACAAAGGAACACTCCAGAATTCAAACTTCATTCAAGCTGACCCGGCATGCGAGCTAAGCCATTCCCGCTAAGCATTACCGGCGTACTTGCGGCGCATCGAGCGCGCACGGGGTGCGGCGCACCCCGAAAATAAGGGGTCGGCCAAAAAAAAGAAAAGTTGGGGAGGGGTGTTGTAGGCTCAAGTGGGATGTCGCGTCAAAACAATTTGAGGCCGCGCGGGGCCCCGGAAAAAAAAAGGGGTAGGAGCTGAATTTTTTTTTTTAAGGAAGAACTTCAGAATTTCTTTGCACGAGTGAAGCCCGGCGCGTCCAACCTGTCAGAACCTCAACGGTAATGTTCACCAACGGGCTCGCTGCACAACTCTCGACATGCACAACAAGACATAGGGCCTCGCTGCACTACTCTCAACATGCACARAAGACAAAAATATTGGCGGTGTATCTTTCCATATTCTAACGCAAGATTCACTCTCGTTTTGCAGATTTCCAGAGTAGTGCAGCCAGGCCCATATATGGCAATGTATCTTTCCATGTTCAAGCGGAGGATTCAGTCTCATTTGTTCAGAAATTCTATGAAAAAAAAAAAAAAAGTTTCCAGAGATACGTTACGTGCTTACCGGATTCATCGGCCCTTCGTTCTCCACCACCCAAGGTATGAACGAATCTTCCGCCACAACATGGAAAGATACACCGCCATATTTTTTGTCCTTTGTGCATGTCGCCCCGCTTCCGGATTCATGTTGCCCGTTGATAAGGGCGGTTTCTTCGGTCCGATAGTGTCAGCACACGGTTTCTTCTCTCTCTCACACGGTTTCCTCTCTCTCTCTCTCTCTCTCTCTCTCTCTCTCTCTCTCTCTCTCTCTCNCACACACACACACACACACACACACACAAATGTGGCGGTGTATATTTCCATGTTGCAGCGGTACATTCACTCGATTTTGCTCGTCGTTTCGATGGCAGTACCAGGAGGCCAGCCGCGACGTTGGAGACCTCTCTCTCTCTCTCTCTCTCTCTCTCTCTCTCTCTCTCTCTCTCTCTCTCCCTCTCTGTGCGGTGTATATTTCCATGTTGCAGCGGTACATTTGCTCGATTTTGCGCGTCATTTCGATGGAAGTACCAGGAGGCCAGCCGCGACGTCTCTGTGCGGTGTATATTTCCATGTTGCAGCGGTACATTCGCTCGATTTTGCTCGTCATTTCGATGGAAGTACCAGGAGGCCAGCCGCGACGTTGGAGACCTCTCTCTCTCTCTCTCTCTCTCTCTCTCTCTCTCTCTCTCTCTCTCTCTCTCTCTCAAATAAAAAAACAGTCCGCTTTCAGACATGCAAAATTTGGGGAATCTAAGCCAGGGGATAAGACTGTATTGAAGTCCCCGGCCAAGACGATGTTCTGAGCATCGGGGAGGAGGTGAGGGAATTCTTGCAGAAAGGACCTCCTTTCTGCAGGCTCCGAGGGAACGTAAACAGTTGCGAAGAGCCAATCCTCCCCACCCAACTTGACACGTACCCAAATAAAATTACCCCAGATGTCGGTTTCAGATTCACCCACTTCGAGCTCTAAGTCTCTGTGAAAGAGGATAGCAGTGCCCCCCCTGGTCTCTTGAGCAGGTGACCAAAACTGGGGCCCTGACCACCACCTACTGATTCTCTGAATCTTTTGCTGGTCAAGCTTGGTCTCCTGCAGCAGAAGAACGTGGACCCTGTTGTCGTGTAGCCAGGTTTTCAATCTGGCCTTTTTGAACTTACGATTCGAGTCGCAAAGGCCCCTCACATTCCAGGTGGCAACATTAAGCCTGACCATCATTATCCGTGGGAGCGGCGCTTGATTGGATCCGCGGGTTATTTTCGGCCGAGACTCGGGTCCTGCTGCTGCGTTCCAAGGTGTCATTAGCAGGTTACGGAAACCCACTGAATTAGGCTGCTTCTCTCTGGCCAGTGAAGTACGGAATTCTGCAATGACCGAGGCATCTACATCCGTAGTGATGTAGGTTTCACGCAATTCGGGGGTGTCTCTGGATGCCAACCAGGAAGAGGGCAGCCAGACTGCTCCCTCAGTTGCCAGGTAAGCTGCTGTGTCAGTGACAATGCGGGCGTCGATGACTGCTATATGGAAGTGCCAGCTGCCCCCCTCCCGGGCGGCTACTGATTTCCTACCAATCCGAATGCCAGGGACCAATCGAAAGGGGAAGCGGTCTCCAATGAATCTGGCCGCTGCTACCTGGACTGGTTCCTTAGTTGTGGGGGAGGCATCTACCTGAACTGTGGGGATGGCCAACAGTCCCTGGTGCGTGCGTTTCGCCAGGAATTTCGTTGATTGTGGAGCCAGAGAGAAGCACAGCAGGACAACGAAGTGCCTGGTCGTCCCAGGAGACGGGCCTTGCTGCGAGGCGAGCGGCAGGGAAATATTGGGTTGTGCTTGCATTATTGCCATAGTCTCCCGGGGGATCGAAGTGAAATCAAGCTCCGTTTCTTCCTCCTCTCTGGTGATCTCCCCCTCGCCCCCGAGACCGACTCTTCTCATTTTCATTGGCGTGCGCAGGGTCAGTCGGGGATCTCGCATCACCAGATCGTCAGTGTTGGAAACTACTGGCGGCTGCGTGGAGACAATCTGCAGTTGCTCACTTGCCGATGATATAGGGGCAAGTGCGTTGGTGACTGGGAGCGTGGGGCCAGGATCAATAAGAGCCTCCTGCCCTTGATCTTGGATGAACATGGGGTTGAGGTGGATGGTTGAGTAATTTGAGGGGAGGACTGAGGGACGAGCTGGCTGAGTTACGAGGGGTTGTACGGTCGGACGAACGGGAGGTCGGAAGGGAAGTGGGGTGTTGGCTGTCGGGGCCCGAGATCCCACTACAGATGTGGGTGAGGGAAAGGCAGGGGCCCCTCTGAAAAGGTTGTACTCCGCCGGCAGGGTTCGTGGGACCGGGACGGGAGTTATAGAATGTTGAGGGGCAGGGCGGGAGCCAATAATTCCTGGGGGTGGGGGAAGTGCGAGGGGTGGGGGGTGAGAGAGGTAGGCCGCATGAGGTTGATGAATTGGGGGGGGGACGTGGGCTGTGAACGGCTGAGTGCAGACGGCCACGAGTGGGGGGGAACTCAGGAAAGGGGATTGGAGCGAGCTGATCGTGAGGGATGTGGAGGCGGGAGCTTGGGGGGGGGGAAGGGGAAGGGAAGCGTGAAGGGGAGCCTGGGTGGCGGAGCTTAGTTGGTGGTGGGCAAATGGGGCCGAGCCAGAGGTTGGGGAGAGAATTTGCAGGGGCCGTGGGCGCTGTGTGGGGTTGAGAGTAGTGAGGGGGAGCGGCCAACTTGCTGCTAGCGGAGTAGTGCCGCTCGTCGATGCGTGTGGCGGGTGATTGGGGTTAGGAGGAAGTGGCTGTGCGTGTCCGTTCGGGGCTCGATTTCTACCCCCTCTGCCTCTACCCCTGCCTCTTCGAGTGCGTCTGTCCGGTGGCATGGGTTCATGGAAACGGGGGCAGTCCGGGTCAAATTCGTCGTGATACCACCAGAGGCATTTCGCGCAGAAAGCAGTGTCCTGATTGGCGAATTGAAATTCTAGGTGATCCCCGCTGGGGTCTCGAAGTACAATCCATTCCTTGAAGTTGTCTTTTACGGATGGATGGCAATCTATACGGACATTACCCAGGCGGGGTTCATCCTCACTTCTATCCGGGGGATGCATGGTGATGATAGGCCCCATCAGCTTCCGAACGGCGTTTCTCAGGGAGAACATCGCCCCCAATGGAACTCGCAATGCTATTATCCTGAACTTACCGGCTGCTTCAGCATCGCGCATCCGGTTAAGTTCACTCTGGGTCATCCAGGGTTTGAAGAGGACTTTGACCGGCCCAGATCGGGAGGGGATAGAGTCCTGCCCCTTGAGAATCATCCATTCGGCGATTCTGCTCGATCTAGCGACATAGGACATAACGTTCGGACCCTCTCCATGGGTGCGGCCTCACTTTTGGGATGGATTCATGTTAACGTCTTGGTACCAGGCGTCCTCATAGACCCGAATAAATTGCTCCCTTTGTGCAACCGTGAGTGTTGTGGAGCGAACATCGAAAATAACGATGACGGTGCGAGACTTCAACCAATTAATTGTCGCCGCACTAACTTCCTCGGAAAGATTCAAATATCCTACCCCGTCGATGACCTCAGCCTCCCCGTGACTGAAATCAGTTTCGGGGAAGAGGCCATTGTCGTAACACATGTCGAGGAGGGTGTTAATGCGGGCCATGTCCTCTGAGGGGGCTGAAGGCACTGGAGCTGGGGTGGCAGAGGAGGAGGCGGCACCCTGTGACGGAGGGGGTCCGCTGATCCGGGGGATGCCCCCTTCACGGGCGGATGGGGGAAGAGTCGCCATTTAATCGGTGAGCGTAGCCCACCAGAAAATAGGTGCTGTGTCGGACGATAGGATAAAAGTCAGAAGGATGGGGGGGGGGGGTAGGGATCAGCGGAGATGAACACCTGTTGACCGGCTAGCAATTTGGAGTGCGAGCCGTGTGAAGGAAGGGCTCCTGACTTAGGCTTCTGATACGCAGGTCGGGGTGCTATCCTATGAAGGTCGAGGTGAGGTGGCGCCCAGAACGGATAAGGTGAGAAGTGAGGGTGAGGAGTGGAGCAGATTAAGCGAGGGGATAGAAGGAAACGGAAAGGCACAAAGAACTAGGATGGAGAGGAGAGAGGGTAGTTGGTTATACCTGGCCGGATTGACGACCTAAATGGGCGGTCGCAGGCATTCACGGCTGACGTGGAGCTCAAGCAGCTGGCAGGTATCGTCGCCAATAGTACCCATCAGGGACAAGGCGAGATCGCCATGTCCGTTACACATAGTTCACGTTAGAGCAAGTTACCATATCTGATCCGCTGTCCCACCGTGATGCTCGCCCTCGGCTATGCCGGAGTTGACCTAGTCGAATCCTAGGTTGAGCGTCGGTGGTGCCGCATCAGCCGGCAGCGTGCCGGGGTCGTGGTCAGCGGAACTGGTTCTCCTGAACCGATTGCGCACCGGCAGAGCGCTCCGCGCCGGTCGGTGGCTTCTCCACCAAATAAAAAAACAGTAAAATAAATCCCTAAACAAACAGTAAAAAAAAATAAAAAAATAAATGGTGTGCGCCCCCGGCGCGCCCCCCAGCGCACCGGCCCTGAGCGCAGCGCACTGCACACTGCGCACTGCGCACCCGGGTGCGCGGTGCGCGCCGGTGTGCGCGCACCTCGGGTCCGCGCACCGCACAGCGCGCGGCGCACCGCGTAGCGCACAGGGTCGGTGCGCAGCAGCAAAGGCATTCTGCAAGCAAAAGAATCACGCAATGTTTACAAATACTAGCATCTTGATCAGCAAGCCAGCGGTTCAATCGTAACTGCAGGTCATCTATTATGTGTTGCGCTTACAAGCATGAGAGCTGAAAAGCCCAGTAGCTCCGGACTTGCCTCGCAAACCTGTTCCAAGTTTTTTTTTTTTTAATCTTGTGGCAGCGGCGCAGCAGTGTAATTCAGTGTTACTTGTGGATATGCATCAGCAAAAAGGTGTACAGGGAAAAAAGAGGTGGCCATGTACAAGAAGAATCAAATTGCATGAGAAAAGAAAGTGCACACCGTTATTGGCTGTTTCAATTACACAATCAACAGAGAAACACACATGCACAGCTACACTCACATATACAAAGTGGAGCAAGAACAAAAAGATTATCAAAGAACCCTCTTAAAGCCCACATACAGCATAGATGCCTCATACACCAAGCTCAGCAAAAACATTAAGAACCTGCTAAAGAATGGAAGAGCAAAGCAAACACCACATGCACAGGTACACACACATATAGTTCAAAGAACCCTCAAACTCACACATACAGCACAGAGTACCGCATACACTGAGCACAGCAGAAACTTAAAGAACCTGCTGAAACATATACCAGGTGCGGCAAAAACAGAAGGAACCCTATAAAGCACACATACATACAGCCTAACAAATGCTTTCATGATTCTCTGACATCATCCTGCAATCTTTTGCTGCAGGGTTCTCATCTGGGCATGAACACAAGAGGCGAAGGGTAAACGATAATGAACTGTCTGGGAGTTTGGCACCATCTGAAGGGACTGGGCATTTGTGGCGTACCTCACACGCCGGCGCACAGCTGAGGGAAGCGTTTCCAGACCCGGTTCGGAAGCACTGATCACTTCATATGGATCAGTGTCATCAGAGTCCTTTCCTCCAGATCCATAACTCTGCCACCACATTAGGTACTACCTTCAATCCAACAATAGAGAAGAGAGATGAGCAGAACACAAAAGCCATAAGCATAGAACAAAGAGCTGGTGACAAAGGTCAATGGATCTGCTATGAACCGCACAGTTCATCACCATTGAGTGCTCACATAGGCATGCATCAACACAAGTGGGATGACACGATTTCATATACTAAACACTAGAGAGTAGAAAACCAGGAAGCGCAGCTTATATTTCCAACAAGCTACCACAAGAGCAAAGAGTTCACATCACCAGCGCTCATCAGCGCATACAAAGGTAACCAATAGTCAGCAACAACTCTCAGGTGAGTATCTCTTTCCAGCTCTTCTTCTCTCTCTCTCTCACACACACTGGTCTTCTCTCTAGCTATGCCCTCACTGTGTCTTCTCTCCCTATATGCATGCACACTTACTACTACGACTCCAAGATCTACTCTGGATACACCCACTGCTATGCCTACTCACTGCACTGGCGCAGCTATGGCTGTCTTCTCCCTGCCAGTGCTAACTCTCCCTTCTCTCTCTCACTTAGTGCAGCACCCTGGCTCAGCGCTCTGTCCCTCACAATAGCGCACAAGTGCACCAGCACTTCCACACTTCATGCGAATAAGCAATCTGCCTAATGAGGAGGCTGGCCAGTCCTGATATTGACTTGGACCGAGCTTCAACTCGTGCCAGCCTTGGCTTCTTGGGGCTTGACTTGGTTCCGGTACCACATCCCCACGGCCTGTTTGTTTCCGAATGTCAGGGCCTGGTACATTTCCCGAATTTCCATTGGTGTACTGCTGCTTGGGCTTTTGAGTCACGACTTTTCGATTGTGACACATGGATTTTGACTGTGGCTTGTGACTCCTGCCTCTGGGACACGACCCTGGCCTGTGGAAGTGTCCTTTGCCCGTGGGATGTGATTTTTGCCCCTGGGATGTGACTGCTTGGCGGGTGCCTCTTGGACTTGACTGCTAAGGTATCCGACTGTGACTCTTCTGAAACTGACCGACTTGGCCTTTATTGGCCCAGGCCTTTGACCCTGAAATTCGAATTTGGGGTCTGAATCGTGGAAGGCCTTTCACTCTCACCGGCCTAATTTCGAGGTCTTCCGAGGAAGTTATCAACTTTACCTGTCAATTATGTTAATTCCTCTCTTATGTTACATGCTGCGCCTGCAACAGGCTGCACGGGCCATTTTCTGGCCCGTGTCGTTTTCAGCCTGAAAGCCTGAAAACAAGGGCCTACAGGCCCTGTGTCGTTTCAGCCTGAAAGCCTGAAAACAAGGGCCTACAGGCCCTGTGTCATTTCAGCCTAAAACAGGGCCCTCCAGGCCCCGAGTCTTTTCAGCCTGGAACGGAGGGCCATTTTCAGGCCTCATAAGACCGACCTGCCCGGAAACTTAGGCACCAGACCAGGGTTTTAGCACAGGCCATTTTGGGCCTGTTTTCAAGACAACCTTTGTTTGAGCTTCAACGCCAGGGTCTGGCACATTTTGGCATTGGCAAGAGCAGCCTCCTGGACGGGCCAGCACTATATAGGACTGGCCCGCCCTGCAGGCTGCAGGTAGTTCATAGGGACTTCCCAGGCACTTCACGTGCAGTTCAGGAGGCAGGAGGTAGTCTTCAGGATTCGGCAGCAGCACTTTGGAGGAGCGCTGCAGTAGTAGTCTTCAGTGCTTGGCGCTAGTAGGAGCTAGAGTAGTACTGGAGAGAGAGAGATTGGGCCGAGGCCAGGGAGACTTACCTGCAGCGCCATAGCTCCAGCTTCATCTTCGAGGTACCTGCAGCACGGCGCCACCTTCAGAGGTTAGTACCTGGCACATGAGAGAGAGAGAGTTCTTCCTCTTCCTCTTCTCAGTCCACCATCTCCCTCCCACCCTCTCACTACCTGACTTCACTGCATCAGCAGACTACGAGAGGGCAGGCTTAGTGACATTCGGATCCAGACTTGACATTAGGCTTCAGACATTTGACAAGGGATTATCTGGGACTTGTAACGAAGACTGGGTGTTGACGACATTCCCATCTCCCCCCTTCTTCTTCATCTGATCCCCTCCTCTTCGTCTGTGTATGGTCTGGACCTGGCACATTCTTCCTGTGTGTGGCGCCAGGCCCCTTCACACCTTGTGATAACGAAGACTTGGTGTTGATGACATTCCCATCTCCCCCCTTCTTCTTCGTCTGATCTCCTCCTCTTCGTCTGTGTATGGTCTACACCTGGCGCATTCTTCCTGTGTGTTGCGCCAGGCCCCTTCATACCTTGTGATGAGGATGATGTATGTTTGGTATGTATTGTGACATTGATTGGGCTAGTCATTGGTATTCTAGCATTCTGCTGTATTGTCTTGCACTACGTGAGAGAGGTCAGTCCCGGTCAGGTCAGGGCTTATATCTAAGTCATCCACTGCGCTACAAAGCACCATTTTTGTATGTATCAGGATGTACAYTGCTTGTTGAGATTCTACTAGCACTGCATTGTCCATTCAAGCCTTTTTATCACATTGGGGATCCTTGGTTTTATATGTACATCGCCCAACTAGGCATGTAACACTTAGCTCTTTCATAATACGACACAATATGCGGTGCTGTCTCAATTAATTCATCTCTTGTACACCAGCGATCTTCTGAAGGTTCCTGATAGGCAAATCTCACCTTATACTGTTGTTGTGGTCTACCCCTGCGCCCAGATCTATAGACATCTTCCCCAACATCCACATCATACTTACCATCCATATCAAGGGGAATCATAGATCTGCGTGATGGAAACATGTCATTACTGACGCAAGGAAGTAACTTTGAAGCGTGAAACACCAGATATGTGTGCAAGTATGGAGGAATCTCAACAACGTAAGGAGGACCATCCACATCGCCAATTACACCCAGAATCTGTCATGGTCCCCTATAAGCTGGCAATAATTTTTGCGATATGTTTCCCTCAGGAAGAAACTCTTTCGACTTTACCTAGACTAGGTCTGCTACAGCAAATTGCGAGGCCCTGCGATGCTTATTAGGTTGTTCTATCATCTGATGCTATGCTTTACTAATGTTCTCTTTAACCTTTTCAATATTTGTCTGATATCGCACAACGAATTCCCTAGTTCCTAGTGGACGCCTCTGTATTTGATCAGGATTTAGACAATCTATGGGTCTACGAGGGCGCCATCCCAAATGCAATTCGGTAGGTGTTCTGGAAGTAGACTGATGTACAAAATTGTTATGGGCATAATCAATTTTCGGAGATGTTCATCCTAGTCAATTTGATCTGGTCGGATGTACATTCGCAGCGTCTGCTGCAACAACGTGTTCATCTGCTTGGTCTGTCCGTTAGTCTCAGGATGTCTGCCGGAGGACATAGTCAACATCTCTTGCTGCCACTGTTCACCTGTGAACCGAGTATCTCTGTCACCCACAATGGTTAAGGATGCCCAGAATCCCTTACCCAATGATTAAATAATTCTTGAATTACCAAATCCGTTCTGGCTTCAGCGGGAAGTGGAACAAAAACAACAAATTTACTAAATCGGTCTACCACAACCATAACCTAACTCTTACCATTTCTGCTTTTAATCTTAGCATCCATAATCTTAGATACGGAATCCCCGGGTCCTGACGGTCTAGGCAGCGGTTTAAGCAATTCAAGGGGAGGTTGTGTGGAACTCTTGTTCCTTTGACATACCTGACAGCCTTGCATGTAGGAAATGTAGTCATGCTTCATTCTCGGCCACGTGTAGGAGCGCAGGTTCGCATAAGTCTTCCTCCATCCAAAGTGCCCCTTAGTGTCGTGATTTTCCCCAAGTATCATGCTACGGATTTCCTCGTTGTTAGGGACACATAGTCGGTTGCGTCACCCAATAGTATGGGACTTCATGTGGTGCAGTTTGCACCTTGCCAAATAGTTGGCTATAGACTGGATCACTCGCATAAGCAAACTTAATTTTCTCTTGCAGTTCGGTGCTATATACATCAAAATGGCACCAAAAAAGTCTGATCTCCTACTTGGAGCATCGGCGACTACGTTATACTTCCCCTTGACTGGCTTCAATTCGAAGTCAAACTGATCAATCTCAGTGGCCCACCTAGTCAATTTAGGTGTTATACGGGCCTGCGTTTTAAGCCAACGAAGTGTCTCATAATCAAAGTACACCTTGAAGTGGCGTCCTAGTAGATAGTGTCGCCAACGACTAAGAGCTTCTTAGAGAGCAAACAACTCTCTTTCGTATGTGGACGCGGCAACCTTCTCACTAGGCAATCGACAAGACATATATTCCACTACTCTGTACCCCTTGCCATCACCTTGCTAGAGTACGACCCCTATCCCATATTGACTGGCGCCAGTTGTCACAGGGCTTGGCAACCTCAAGGTAGTACATACCTAACAACATGTCAAATGGTAGGTCGTTGCTAACCAGAAATGAAATCTTATGATTAAGTTCCCCTTCTACATAGGAGAGAGTGCAGACCACATCCTTAACGTAGTCCTCCACCAACATGCGCTCTTTGTTGGCCAAAGTAGATGCTACTGGTCTACTAAGGCGCTGCACCCAGTCCTATAGGCGCAGCCTGTCAACGCAGTCGCAACTTAAAAAGTTTCATGTGGAGTCAATGTCTACGGAGGCACCGCACTTGCGGCCACCTACACCAACTTCCACAACGAAGTGCTCCCCTCTAGGACTTCGACTTAGCGCCACCCAGGACTCACGAGGGTCCCTTGCCGACCACTCACTTTGTAGGTCCTCTAAGGCCTTAGACACATCCAACGAGCAGAGTATCGTTGGGTTAGGATTCGTTTGTGGGGTGACTAAGGAGTCGATAGCTTCGGCCAACTCTTGAAACGGGGAGGGTACATCACCCGCTTCGATGAGAGTAGTAGCAGCTACAACTTCTACTGGCCCTAGATGTTTCCCGAGCTAGAGCTCGTAGAGGTCCCGCCTTGGGAGAAGGGAATCCCACCCTTAGGTGGTATCTTCTGCGGAACCTTTGCGTTCTTGCACATGAAGTGCTGATGGTCATACTCGTCATGTTTGATGCAAGCACCCCACGAATAACGGTCCCGCCACACCTCTTGATCCAAACCTGCTCGAACCCAAACCGCTATCTTGTTCGGGT